TTTTGTGAAATTCATCCAGTCATACTACTGCTGAGATCTAGAGAAATGAGCCAGCTTCTTCTCTTCTTGTTAACATTTGAAGAAAATGTATTGAAACAGCAGAGACCATGCTTTTAGATTGAAATACTGTCCCATTCCGATAATTCATATTTACGTTGCATGAATTGGAGATGCTCTCAAAATAAAAGGGACAAAGGAATTTCAACATTTCACAATCATTGTAGTATGCTACAATTATATGATTCTTTCCTTTGCTAATTGTTCATACATTCACAGATATGCACCCTGGTACTTCTCTGTTTTTTGCTGCTTATTTTTTTCAAATGAGGATTTACATAATTTTATCCCAATGCTAGAGTGTAAAAGCTGGCCTCAAGGGGAATGATGTGATTACACTAATGCGAAGATATAGAAAGCGATGGTTTAAATGTGTAAAGATAATGTTGCTGTGCATGAGAGCTCTTGTAAGTATTTTGTTCATTATCAAGAGATCTTTATGAGATTTCCATAATTGAATGACTTTTTCAGCCAGAATGCATGCAAACACAATGCAGTTCCGGTAAATTAATACTACTACATTTTGTTAGGAGTAGTATTACCATTGAATAATTGAGTGTTTGAAAGCATAAAATTGGGTTTGAATTTACTCCCACATATATTAGTATATGGATCAGCAAGTTTTAATGCCCGAATTATTGGCATGACGTATTTAGAGAGGCCTTTGTAAGGGGACAGAGTCTAAATTACGTCCACTCTGTTGTAGCTCGGCATTCATCAATTCTACAAACATAATCAAAATGGAAAGCATATAGCTTGAAGACCTTACACATTCTTTTATACTATAGGATTTCCCGGCCAAATTCGCGAGTTTGTCATTCGAATTCATTTACTTTGCATTTAAGTTAGGGCAGATCAGCTTTGCCATGCCAATTATCATTAAATTTTCCCGATCTTGTATTTAATTTAGGATTTTGGTCGAAGGATTTCATAGATCTGTCATTCAATTTAGAAACTGCTCAACTAGCATTCAAATTAATCGTCATTTGTCGAGGCGTCATTTCTATCATTCAAATTAACACCTGTCATTCGTATTCGAAATATTTGTATTCAAGTTAGGAATGTTAGGGGGAAGAAATGCACCACACGTTTACAGTTTAAAAAATAAAATAAAATCCAGGACCTGCCATTGGGGTCTATTCTGTTATTCAATTTTTTTCATTTTCAGTACAATGCATATGGGTGTAGTCAGACATTAAGTAAAGAAGGGGCGAAATCAAGGGATATATGGCATTTCTGCACGGACATGTTTATATACCCAGGAAAGGTGGGGGTACCCTCAATCGCCCCTTTTAAATACAGACTTTGAATGTTACAAAAGTAATTTACATCGTCTCTCACACTAGCTAGCACACCCCTCTGTTTTTCTAAAAGAGTTTCATAGTTTACTTATCACTTCTCCATTTCCCTTCGCCATCGATGGCTAAAGACTTGGTTAAAATTGTGTGACTCTAGTCTCTACCCCTATATATTGTACACGACCTCCATAATGAAATTATGATGACTGAAATTATGATAAATTTATGATGAAACACAAGACAAACAATTTCCTTGCATGAAAATGTATAAACATATTGAGACCATCAAGTCTGCAGATGCAAGTATTTAGTTTTTCCCCTTAACAATCAAACTTAAATGCCGATGAATATCAGACAAATCTAATAAGTATAAGTTTATAAATGCCATAAACTAAAATATGATGAAATACACATGAAAAAAACAATCTTGAAAGAAAAAAAAAGAGCTATAAAAAGTGTGTAAGAAACGAGAAATATATATTGACCATCAATTTAAGTGCACAAAGTGCTAATTTGAATGCAACAAATGAATTAGAATGCTAGAAGTACACCGTCGCGATGTCAGAAAATCGTGTTGCACTAAATTGAATGACCAAATAGTGAAAGAAGCACTTTGTTCATTAATTTGAATGAAACATACATAGATTCTAACGAAAACTTCATAGATTTGAAATCTAGAAAAAGGAATATAAACCCGAGATATACCCGAGATATACCTGACAGCACTAAAAGCGTCGAATTTGAACGCAAGACAAATGAATTCGAATGACAAACTCGCGAATTTGGCCGGGAAATCCTATATTATGATATTTATATTTGCTTAATCATACTAGTAATCATTGTCCAGTGTTGGCTTGTCTCGTTTCCTCAATGAACTATTTTTTATTACGAGTCGAACAGGAAGTGAACATTAACACTCATTTGTTTTGTTTTCATACTAAAAATGGCAGTTAGAATACCACATCTGTTTGTATAAGAGTTAAAAGACCATTAAACCTGATTCATTACTTGATAATATTTCCTGATATACCCATGATTTTACAATTTTGTTATTAGATTTCTTGTTTAGAGCTAAGCTCTTGGCTATATTGCCCTGGAGACAGGCCTGGCATTATTAACTAGTTTGTCAGGATTTTTTTTTCTCCATTTTCCTTCATACACAAGGCTAAAAGAACCAGTGTTTTGTATATTTATCAAGTCCCTAGTTATCAGATAAAAATTGTTTAATAATCAGGAACAAATGAAACTGACGGTCTGGGGTTTCATGCTCATGTGGAGACGTTTTTGTCCCTCTGTTCTCAACTCTTCACATTGATGTCATGTACAAGATCATTGCACTCTACTTGAACCCTTTCTCCCTATCATTTAGCTTGTTGACTCAGAGCAATATTTTGGTATCTCTTTTGTCAACATGGGCATCCTTAATTCTTTCTCAACAATTGTCTCAACCAGATCAATGTTTTAAATACATTTCATAAGCCATTGGATCTGCTTTGGAGGCAGTGTATTCCATTCTTGAGTGTGTATTATTCTTATCGAGGGAGTAGACTGAATTTCCTCCATGCACTGTGTCATAGGCACAAACAGGTGCAGCATGCTTTGAAGTAAAAAGTGAAGACTTTGCCGGCCATGTTTTTGGATACACCTCCAAATTTAGATCCAGAACCAGAAATGTGCATCCATCAACACCTCCATGGATGGGCTTACACATACCTGGCGGAACACGTTGGGAGTTGTACATGTTCTAATCCCTTGCTCCTTGAAGACCCATTTCACATGCAGCATTTAAATGTTAGCAGACTCCATTTCACAATGAAAACTTGTCAATTAGGCGACTCAGTCTCTTACAGTTATAAACATGGATTTTGAAGTTGACTATATGATCAAATCATATTATAGATAAGAAATAATGCATTCCTAATAAGTTAGATAACTTGCGATTTTGTTTTCAAACTATAAATTTTACTTACACCTGTAGGCTTTGTCAGTTTATGCATCATGGCGTTGAATCACCAACTTAAAAAGCTTTCTCATCATTAGCAGTTAGGCATAACGATGTATCATGCTTTACAAGAACAGTTGTGCTCAGTCATCCAACACCTTTTTAGGAAAAAAAAGAAACAATGACAAATCAAATTTTGAGCACCCAAGTACAGACTCTGGAATTTTTATTCTTTTTTTTCTTTATAATTTTAAACGCTAATCACGCATTATTTGTGTATAACAAGGTTACATAATGCCCTTGAGGTATGTTTGCTCAACATATGTTGTGATGTCCATTTACATGCAAAATGTTTATTGATGTGAATTAACTTTGTAATGACAAGTACTAAAACAGTAACTTGATTGATACATGCCATATTGAGAAGGTTAGGAACATTTGTTTTGGGCGATGCCGGAAGCAAACACGTTGAAACTTTCTTTCCTCAAGTTGACTCGTTAATATAGTGGTCAGCGAGTGTCTACATATGCTCATCAAAGTATATCTCTAGTTCTCCTTTCCTTCTTTTCCTTTCCTCATTTCCTCTCCGCAATGCCTTTCCCTATCTTGTATATTCACAAGGACACTTTATATAGAAACGACCTTCATTGAAATTAGTTCTAAGGGGGAATTTGTATGTTATAATTAGGGTTAATTCAAAAGGAGGTAATTGCATGAGATCAGGAATAGGTCAAAAGTTTGTAAGATTTGGCTGGCCTGCTATTCATGTTTTATTCTTAGTCATCTATCCGATTGTTTTTTTCAGGTCATCGGGTCATTTTGTACAGCAAGTCTTTGATCTAGAAAATATCTCCATCCTACTGTATTGATTGTGCTTGGTACATTGTTTCACTATTTCCAAGTTTGGGATAACATTGAACAAAAGACAAAAAACAGAACCAATTTTTAAACCCTTGTAAGAGATAACAGCATTGTATGTTTAGGGTGTTCCTTTGGAGCCGTAATTGCATTAACTTGTGTTAAAGTGTATGAGTAAACAACCTTGTGCCTTCAAACAGACAAAATGTTATGAGAATATGGTAGCTGTCCTGAATACTCTCAATGGAGTGGAGAGTGCTGCGTACATGCAGTAATGTGATTGGATCAAGTGATCGGATAAAAGAACACTGGCAATTTCTTCAATCAGTCAATTGTAACTTGAAATGCGCTATTCAATAGTACTGTAATTAACGGTGTATAAACCGCCCTCGTGTATTAACTGCACCCCTCTTTTTCGCCCTTCAAAAAAAAAAAAAATTTGGTGTACCGTGTATAAGACGCACCCCCCGACTTTGAATTTTTTTCGGCGTTAAAAAAGTGTGGTTTATACACCGTTAATTACGGTACTTGTTATCAATATGAGACCACAAACTGATTTGTACTTTCCTTCTCATATTCAAGTTGGGATGACATGCTTTTCAGCAAAAAAGCTCTCGTGCTATCACTTAATACTGCCCAAAAGCTAATATCATAAATTTGCTGAGCTTCATAAGACCGAGTTATCTACCTTCCTATGGTTTCAATAGATTTGATTTGGAATCTTACACCCATTTTGAACCTGTATTTTTCACCTACAAATCAGCTTTTTAAAAAATTTCTGAAATATTTTAGCATCTTTTATAACATTTGTCTTTTACTTTTCTATTTTTGTTGTTGTTGAGCAGGTTGGTAGTGATGGCCAGGCATGGAGTTCACCTGGTCTTGAGAGGAAGGATGTTTTAACTGATGCAGCCAGCGCCTACCCCTCTGGGACAGGAGAAGAAAGGTAATTACCCCCCAAACATCACATATAGCTAGCAGTCAATAGTGATTGTCAAAATTATGAATTATTAGTCCAACCCCGTCTAGCAATCAACATTCTGGTAATTTGAAGTGTATACGCTGAATGTTGTGGGACTTTTTGTTGTTATTTAAAATGATAGGTCTCTTGAATTCCATAATAATTTTTTGTTTTTGTTTTTGATAGGTGATAGATTTGATGGCCACAACTATTGTGTTGTCTTTTTATTGAACACAGATTGGACTAGCTCTTAAATCATTTCGCAAGACAATCTTTAAAAGAGAATTTTTGAAAGTGTAGCGTTCTTGGATATTCTACTATCACTTTTACTTCCAAAATTTACAAATATGATTAGGTACCTTATGTACCTTAAATGTAAGGTGAAAAGCTCTGAAGAAAGCCTGCGTAACTGAGGTGCTCTAAAGGAATTCCAAGATAAGTTTGCTGCATTGTGATAGGACAGAAAGGGTCCGGAAATGAAGTTGCTATGGTTTACTTGTGATATGTTTTAAACTCAAGTTATTCTATATTTACAGATCTTCTATGCTACATCCAGGGTTCCATCTTGACTATTTCATGATTTTCCACTCAATAATTCCAAATGTCTGTATGCATGAGTCCTCTGTAGAAATTTAGATTGAAAAAAAAAATGGGGGTGGGGGGGGGGCTTAGATTTGGATTTGGGGGCTCATATGTTCCAGGTGCCTGTTAGGATCAAACCTTTTTTTTTTTAATGCATATGTAATTTTTGTTTGTTTTTATTGCAGTGGAGCAGAAGGCAGTCAGAATGTTGAGAAGCGGCAGGGTAAAAAGAAGCATAGTAAAACGAGCAAGAAGAGGCCTAAGCTTAGCATCATATCTGTTGACGAGGATCAAGTGATCGAATGCTCCTTGGAGACGCATAGGGGAGACACTATCGTCTTCAAGTTCAGTGAAGATGATCAGTTGGATGGCATTGTGTCAAACCTGGTATGAAATAAATTCTTAAAATAAAATTATATGGCCTCTTTCTCATTTGACTTAGTAAACTTTCAAAGAGGAACACAAAATAAAAACAACAAAAAACATGGGTTAATAGACATGCAGTTTGCTCAGTTTTCATTATTTCTCTTTAATTCCTGGTTAGGTTAAGAGTTCTTATAGCTAAAGAGATGATTTAACTCTGCATGGTAAATATCTCTTATCATCCTGGGAAATTATCCACCTCTTTTGTCATAGTTTGTCTTTATGTAGATATCTTTTCTTTCAATATTTAATGAATTCTTCTGTCAATAATTACGGAGTGCTATTATTAAAAACTTCTGAGGTCTGTGGAGACGAAAAGATCCATAAAATTCAGCCTCATTGTGTTTATAAGCACTGTTATTTTTATCAAGTTTGCATCAGCACAGGTGTCCTAAAATAAAATACAATTACTTTTTGGGACATGTGATCCGCAGCTCTTGAGGGGAAAGATTGTGAGACCTTGATCAAAATATTGTGAGAGTGTGTATAGTTTATATTTATATCACAAGATATGCCACAAGAGTACCAGGAGGTTGAATGAAATAGGACAGTTGAAATAAATAACACAATGCGAAATAACAATAAGAATATTGGATTTTTATATTGGGTCTGTTTGGAGCCACCTCTGTTGGACAAGGAATTATGAGCAATATGACCATCACCTCTTTCAAGTTTTTTCCTTTTGTTGGACTTTAATTTGAAATTTGACCTATTTCCACTGCATAGAATGCATTGCATATTAAAACTAAGAATCCACGTTTTTGTTAGTGAGATAGAGAAAGGTAAAATCCTGGAGGCATTTGGTGCAAGATCTTAATAGAGAAAACCATTTTACTTGAGTTTTAGTTGAAATATCTATGTACATGTAGTTTTAATATCTATGTAGTGGAATTATCTATGTTAATTTTTTGCATATTGATGCCATGATATGAAAATATTTGATTTGTGTAATAAATTAGTTTTCCTTCTCTATGTCTTTCTCATTTTTATTTGCTTTCCTGTCTCTGTTCTACTCACTGTTTCTATTCTCACTTTCTTCTGCCCTCCTCCTGTACATCATTACCTCTCCATCTATTCCACTCTCTATAGACGGTAGCCAAGTGGGTTCATGAGCAGCATGCAGGCCTCTTCAAGGAGCAGCTTCTCAAGGTGATGGAGGATGCCAAACGTTTAGGACCAGGCCTCCACCTCCAGCCAGGTCCCTCATCCTCTACCGTGGGAGACGATACCGGTACCATCACCAGTCAGCAGCTTCAGGAAGGGGTGGTTCCACCAAGCCCCGGCACAGCCGTCAACTCGTCGGATGCCTCCCCTCCCAGTGGGGACGAGTCTCAGCAGCAATTGGTATGGTCCCCAGCTCTCTACTCACCTGCTTCACCAATATCTGATCCTTCAAGCCCAAGGCTCAGCCCCCTTTCTTGGCCCTCTTTGGTGGGTTGGTGGGACTGGCTCTCTATCTCAGATTTTCTTTTGAGTTTCCTTGCTATGTGCAAATTGGACTGCTGTGGTAGCTGGCCTTGGAGTGACAATTTCTTTTTACCAGCCCCCCCCCCCCCCCCTCCCTCTCCCTCTCCCTCTTCCATCCCATTTGGTTTGAATGTATGATTAGCAGCCTGAATGGTTTTATTACATCATTATTTCTTCAAGCCCTTCTCATTCCTAATGACCTTGCATTCCATTCTCCTCTTTACATTCCTAACCTTTTAGAGTGCAGTAAGATGACATGAGTATCTTCCTATACTCGCCTATACTCTCTATATGTTAGAACCAAGACTTGATGAGAATGTACTTTCCCTTTCATATATATTTTTATGTTTCAAACATAAAGAATATTCTTCATACAATTTGCCACCAAAAAGTTCATTTTTATAAGAATAGCAAGATTATCCTCTATTTAGGCACACATTGCCCTCGGGGTTTTTCTGTGGCATTATTTGGGATGAGGTAGTTCTGCTTTGCTCGTCAATAACTGCAACCTGCTCTACCCTACAACAATTTTTGAAACACCCCTAAAATTCCTTGTCCAATTTTATTTCACTTTCCTTTTTCTCTCTCTATGGAAACATATTCCTGGAAATATTCATACACTATACTGTACACACGTAGAGAAAAAAGAAATGAAGCATAACTAATTCATGATAATCACAGATACCAATATCAAGTATTTTGTTGTTGGTATGTAATGTATTGTTCCCCATGTTCAACTTAAACATTGAGCATTGTGACAAGTTAACCTACATGTAGATAATATGCCTGTGATGTTCAATTTCGAGTAGATACTTGTAGTGGTTTCCTGTTTTAGGCAATGTGAATAATGTTTGTTTGTGAAATTATGATATTCTGTATACACAGAGCATGATGTTAGCATTATATATAGAAGTAGAATTTAATCGGAGCTACTACTACCACTTTGATCTAACTTGAAGAATAACATGATTGACTTAATGTGCCATGTACATGAGCTGATGATTTTTGCATTGAAGTGATATTTGAATAATTGCATGTAATTAATTTTTTTGTATTTTAATGATTATTTTTTTTTTACATCACAAGTCCTTATTTTGAATATTTTATAATTTTGCCTTTTTCTTTCTTTCTTTATTTGATTAGAATGCTCCCCAACAAAGCTTTGAGATGGCAGTTGGTAAGCATCTGACTGCAGAGTCACAGCAGGGTGAGCAGCAACTGAGACCTGTTGAAAACCAGCACCTACCCCTCAGTAGGAAGGGTAGTAGTCCTCTAATCGTCAATCAGCCTCAGCAGATGGGTAGTGAAGACAGTGACCAGACTCGTCCTAAGCCCAACCAGTCTCCTCCAGCAGCCATAGAGAACATGCCTAGCCAAGTGCCAGTCCAGCAGAGTCATCATCTTCAAATGGAGCTGAGAACACCACAACCTGTCTATCCAAGCCAAGCAGGTGTCCCAGATCAAGGCATGATGCAGGGAATGCCTATGATGGGTGCGTACAGCATGATGCCTATGCTATCTTCACAAGGAAATGTTGTTTTCGTGCCCATGGCAACACAGGCTGGTGCTCCCCAGATGTACATGCACCCCCAACAGGCTCAACAAATGTACATGCAGCAACAGATGCCGATGCAGCAGCACCTCTCGCAGCAACCACCAATGCAGCAACACCAACAACCACCAATGCAACAGCTCCAGCAGCAACCTCCTATTATGCAACATCAGCAGCAACCCCCAATGCAGCAACAACAACAACCACAACAACAGCTTCCAATGCACCAACAACAACCACCAATGCAGCAACAACCTCTACCATCAGTCCAGGACCAAGTTCAGCCACAGCTGCAACAACAACCAACTCAACCTATTCAGCAAGGAGGGCAACAAGCACAGATTCCACCACAGCAGTTGCAACAAGTTCAACCAACACAACCTGGTCAGCAAGTTGCAACATCTGTGCAAGGTCAGGCTCATGCACAACCTCATCAACAACCACAAACTACAGCTGCTCTTTCAACTGCAGCACCCACCCAGAGTGTCGCAGGAGGGGCACAGCCACAGCAGTCTCAAGCTAAAGCTGCTCAGGTTGCAGGTGTAGCTCGTCTTAAAGAGCTTGATCACAAACTATCTCAGCTACACAAAAAGCCTAACCCACACCAGCAACAAACACCAGCTAAAGTTCCTTCACAACCACCAACAATGCTCCAGCAGCAAATATCACAGGGTCAGTCAAATGTACCCTATCACAATCAAGTCAGTGTGAGTGTTGCCCAGCTGACCACACCAAACAACAGCCAGAGCTCTGCAAATATTGTCCTGACTCCACAGCCTGTTTCAAATATGTTAGCACCTGTCTTTCATCCAATCCAAGATGAAAGGAAAGCATCCTTGATGGATGCCCAGAGTTTACCCATTCATAACTACCTGCCACGTCCAGCAAGTGAACCTGTTCCAGATTTTCAAACAACACCTTATGTAGATCCCCAACAGGATTCTGTGCAGGTTGTGCCTGAGAAATCAGAAGAAAATCAAATTCAAATCGAACAACCAGCTAGGCCTGTGTCCCCTAAGCCAGCCTCTAGCCCAACAAAGAAGTCCCGTTTTTCTGTGTCATCTGTAGAAGACAAGAAGGATGCAGCAGCAGTGACTGAGGAAAAACCAAAGGAGGAGATCAGTGAAGGAAATGCAGGCAGCAAAACAGAAACAGTTGGAGATAAGTCTTCCAGAGAACCTGCCATTGGTATGGACAAAGACCAGGAGCCTGCACGAAAGGAAGAAAAGAAAGGTAGATTTACAGTAGCACCTGCTCCATGTACTGTGGGAGACGCTGTAAAAAGTGACCTGGTGAAATCTGGTGAGACAGCAACACAGGATGTGAAAGATGTGGTCTCAGATTTGGTATCCCAGACTGAAAAAAATATTGACAAGGAGGGAGCAGATGTGGCAGAAACTGCAAAACCATCGGCAGGTTCTCCCGTTAAGCTTAGCCGTTTCCAAGTTAACAAGGTTTCAGACAAGACTTCGGTTGTTGAAGGAAAAACCTCTGCCGAACAGTCTGTTCCTGAGACAGCTTCAATTGAAACTAATAAGGATGATCAGACTGATATTGAGAAACAACCTGAGGCAGAACAGCCTCCATTACCATCAGCCACTGCATCACTTGCCATAAAAGAGGCAGATCGGGAACCATCTCCTCATCCTCAGCAAGGAAATGAACCCGCTGTTGATATATCAGTTGGACCGGCCATCAAGCCTGAGCGTAAGAGCAGCCTGATTGGCAGTGAACGGGATACTCCAGACAGCATCGCATCAGATGGAAGCTCGCTTCCTTCATTCCCACCAGAAGGTCCAACTTTGCAGCAATCAGCAGGTCTTCCTGGACAACCATTTGGGCCAGGCCAGGGTGTGTTTGCCCAGCCCGAATCTCAAAGTACACCCCCTTTGTCAGATGTTGGATCAGCTTCTCCAGGACCCATTGCTAATGTGAGTAACACGTTTATAACTTTGATTAGAAGTACATTTTATATTCCAATGCTTTCATCATTAGCAATATGCTTTTGAAAAAATATATATTGATATATGCTGAATTTCATAATTGATTACATATTTGTAGTTTAATTATACAGAATTAACTTTCGAGTTTGGAGGGATTTTTCAATCAAGCTTTGTGTGGCAAATAACTATTAGAATATTACCTCCCTTGAAGATATTTCGAAAGATCCTTTTATTGCTATGTTTTGCAGCAAAATTCATGAAGTGACAAAAAAGGAAAATAAATAAATAAGCCAAATAGGAATTGCTTGTATCATATATTACTATGGTTCATTGCGTTTGATTATTAACTTCACTTATTATGTATGGACCCAACTTTGCAAAATATTCTAGGGTCTTCAAGTTTGTAGAATGAAGAGTTTGTTTTAGGTGAAATATGATTATCAAATTTGTGCTTGTATTTGCCATGAAGGAAAGTAGTGAAAGAGAACTTTTACTATGGGTGTTAAACATATTTTGTTATTTCTATCAATCGTAGGCTGATCTAGGTCAAGTCCAGCCATCTCAAGCTGAAGCTGCAAGGGAACTCCAGGAGCTTCTAAAGAGGTAGGACAGACAGATATTAAGCATTGTTTGTATCTCAGGTTTTTGCTCTGGGTAAAGGTAAAACGAGTGGAGGTAAAAAAAGATACAGTGAAAGAGATGTTTTGTCAGTAATTATACACTTTAGCACCATGCTGGTATGTTTAGATATAATACTTTGACAATGAATATTTGCAAAGGTGTTTTTCAAACCTGATTTAGTTATGTTACTGCACATTTAAATAATTTGGCCTTATTTTCTTGACTTAGATTGAAATTGTAATTTGTGTGTGATTAAGAATAACTCTTCTTGTATATAATTATGAGACTTAATTTATAATCCTGCAAAATGGAAAGGCCAAAACAGATGTACCAATCTTGAATCAGTTAACTATTTTGACTCCAGTTGTAGTCATGTTATTTAATGTATATCTGCTTATGTCAAGATGAGACAGTTCTACATTCTCAGGAGTTTTCATTCATGCAACAATGTTATCTACAAAGTCTTTTGAAAATAACACTTTTTCATGCTCTGCGAGATAGATGCTTATACAGGTATTATAACATGAAGGTATGTGTTTCTCTTTTCTTTTTAAAATTGTAGGCAAGATGAAGAGAGGGCTAAGATACTCCATAGACATCGTAGTGAAATGCAGGAGTTTATAGCTCACTATCCGCAGACAACACCGCCCCAGAGTCCCTTGCTTCTCTATCAACCCAACATGTACAGCATGGTACCCTTCCCCATGCAAGAAAACTTTGCTCCTCCAGGCAACTTTGCTCCTCAAGGCAACTTTGCTCCCCAAGGCATGTGGCATCCCAGTAGCAATCTTATTCCCTATAACCACTTCCAGGGAGTTCCTTTCACTCATGCGCCAGGCTCTGCATTTGGGGGATTCCGTCAGGGTACCACCAGCCCACCTACCGTACCAGGCATGTCTTCCATGGGGGTTCCTGTGCAGGGAGGGATGGTAACCTATAGACCTGTAGCTGGTGTGGAGATGCCTGGCCAAGGAGCCATGCCAGGTGCTGCACCTGCAATGACAGGTGCTCAGTATCAAGTGCCTACCACCATGCACCCCCGTTTCTCTGCCAGCAATGAGATGATCCCACAGCAGACCTATACCAATAGTCAAGGACTCAAAAGGAGTGTCAGTTACCAGTCTGTTGTTCCTCAACCCAACACTGGGTTTCAGCCAGCATTTTTCCCCAATCCCAACCAGCCAATGGGACCCCCTAATCCTGAGGCATTCATGCCAAGACCAGGAGCTGGTAATGCGTGGATGAGTTCAGCAGGAGGTGCAATGCAGATTATGGACATGAAGGACCAGCAGTCAATACAGAATGGAATCAACAGGTCTCCAGAGCAGCTCCCTCGTGGGATAGACAATGCAGGTGTAACGTTTCCTACACAACAAGTTCATCCTTATCCATCCCATGTAAGGACCGGCTCTGGTACTGAGAAAATAGACTTCACCAAGAGAATGGTACCAATGAATAGTGAGGCAACTGAGGCGGTAACTTCAAAAGGCTACCAAGCTCAGACAGACTTGGGTCAGGTGGAAAGGAGACTGGAGGAAGCCAGGCCTGGTGGGCTAAGCCAGCCAAATTACCAAAGTGAAAATACAGAACTGCATGGGCAGATTGACAATAGGGTAGCAGTTGATCACCCGACCACAGACCCCAGGCCAGCTGATAATAATACAGATGTGATTCCTACCGACCAAACTGTGGCAGCACAGCTTCAAACACCTGCATCCCAGCAACAGCAGCAGCAACAGGCAGGCAAGCGAAAAGGCACCTTTGCTGATGACAAGTTCAAGAATCTTGCAGATTTGAGTAAGCCAACAGCGGCAAGACCTGCTTTGGATGAAAGGAAAGTTAGCCTGAATGACTTGAAGCGTGCCCAACAGCAGCAGGACTTGCATGCCAGTGCAGCAAGACCACCTTCTGGAACTACCAAAGCTGATGTTCCCAAGACATGAGGAATCGAAATGTGCACTAGAAATTGTGACATATAGTTTAAAAAACAAAAATTATACAAATTTGCAACATCTTATGGTTAAGAAACTGATACTCCACAGTAGGAAGTGTTATTTAAAATAAAAATCACTTTGCAAAAATGTTGTGATCCGCAGATTAGTGAGCAGAACTACTGCACAGTGCTTTCATATGTACACGTATGCTGCGTAGCGTGTAGAGTGGTCACAGTTAAAAAGTATTAAAGCCAACATTACGCATGTTGCATATCTAGAGTAAATGCTAAAATAATCCAAAGGAAACCTTTTTCACATAGCAGAAACTTAGTATGGTCACATAAGGTTTATCATTTTGAGTTAAAGGGGTAGCACATATGTGATTTAAAATTGAAATACATTTGTGAACAGTATGTAAATATTATGTAATAAAGAAAAAGGTGTTAAAAACACTGACTATTCTATTTACACCTGAATGCTGTGGTACATTTTCTCTTTAATACCAAATTCTGATCGTTGCTGTACTTTCTTTGCGACAAATCACCAACTCAGATGTCACAGTTTCTTTTGCATTCCCTCCAAGTGTCGAGCTTCATCAACCTGTTATAATAAATGAACTAATTGGCATGTAATGCTTATGTGTGTGAGTAGCTAATTTATCAGTAATGAATGAAATGGATTAGGATTGTAGAGAAGGAAGACTGTAGACCAGAGATATGTTAGTATAGTTGTTGATTTCATGTAAACTGCCTTATATTTTGTTTGGGATATGCTGCATTGAAGCAGCCTCATGGACAGTGAAAGAATGATGTTGATGATGATGATGAAGAGAGGCAGGAGTCCAGCGAGTAAAGGTGATACAGCCTTTTACTTAAACAGGTTGCAGCTTCCTTATTATATATCACTTTACTAGGTGCTTCTGTGTTGTATGTAATCCTTATAAATGTATCTCACTCAAGTCATGCTTATTACTAACTGTATGAAGAAATGAAAGCTAAGCCTAAATATTTGTATTACCGACCCCAAGAAATGTAAATATTCTTTATGCAAGTGTCTTTGGCGTGCATCTGTTCAATAGAGTCATCGGCAGACAACGATATTATTCTAAGCCATATGTGGAATCATTTGCACAGACTAGGAGAGTGGGTTGTATGATTATCCACAAGGTGAGTGAAGATGAAATGATGAGAAGATGAGAAGTCAAATCCTGGAGATACACAGTCGAGGTCTCATGTCAGTCAGTCGGTCGGTCGTTTCTCAGTTATACCTCGTGTAAGCCCCCTAAGACACTTTAATTACCATTCCATACTCGGTCAAATTTTGGGATACTCTGATGCATTTTTATGAAGAGAATACCCTCGTGTGTAATTAATATCATGATCACTTGTTTTAAAGGTAATGCAAAGTTTTGGGAAATTTTGAAAATTGGATGGAAAGTAATTTTTTAAAATTTTGATATATTTAAATGCCCCAATGGATGTATTATAAGCACTAGACAATTTAGCCCCTAAAACACTTCTGTTTTCGAGAATTTTTAATAATCAAAATTTACCGGTGCTCCCGCTAAATTTCAAAAATTTCAAATAATGCCTAAGGCCTTTCTGTGGTAGCTGCGACCATGAAAATCTCAGAATATGCAGTTTTGATATATAATTTCCAAACGGGAATAGCAAATCGGTCGATTGTAGTCAAGAAACATTGTTTCAAAGCTAAAGTAATATCAGCCTTGAGAGGGAGCTATCCAACATAACCAGTTTATTATTTAAAATTCCATCACTTCAGACTCGATTTCAACCGCGACAATGATCATTGAATATTGTAAAATCGCAAATGCTTCCAATATGTTCATTTGAACCAAATTCATGCCCCCATACCAAAACTTTGTATTACCTTGTGTACTATGTGTCTTGTAAACCTTTTGGCTGATGTTAAGGAGTATTAGATAAATCAAGCATAGGACCTCTGACTTAAATTGAAAAGATCATGTAAATGTGTGTATCTCAACACAGGAACTGTTTGATCCTTTGTAGGAAAACTTCAGCCTTTCAACCTGAGGCAGTCTAAATGGAATAAACAAGGCAATTCTGGTAGCATATAATAAAATAAGTTGAATAGTATGTTGCATCGACTGATGACTGACTTGGAGAAGCCTTGTTATATCTACAAAAACACCACATCCATTCCACCCCTCTAAGTATAAACCAATGTATACACCAGATCAGCCTGATGTTAATTGAATGAATTCAACATGTAGAAACATTTGTACATTATGTAAATAAGCAACAATTGTATGGCCATATATATATAGTTTTGTTGTTCAGTGGGACTTCAACTTGTGTTATCAATGTTTATCATTATTGCGTCTATGAAAATTTGTATAAATGCTGCATTGTGGGCAGTGAATGAAAGAGGCGGCCATTTGCTCAGCCTTGGCTATGTGTGAAACCTTATATTCTAACATTTAGAATATCATAAAGAACATATTGACAAATACAATTCAGATGTACGTCCAGTAAATGTTAGGCATCGGTTATGTAAAAAAAAAATGCATTTTATTGAGTATGCTTAGAATTGATGACCAACTCAAAACTTGTTAATGCTTAAAATTGTTGGCTTCCATTTGTAAGAATTAAAATCACTGTTATATATTTAAGAATCACTAAGTTCTGAAAATAGTGAAAGTGTTAAATCGCTTAGTTTGTGAACTTTACTAATTGGAAAAAGAAGATCATCTTCCCGGTACTCAATTTTTAAAAAAAGTTCTCCTGTTTGTCTCATTTTTTTGGCACCATTTCATCTTTGTTTTTGGAAAACAGGATTCACCATTTTTGCACATCAAATACATATTATATATCAATTCCTCATTAGCACTTTACGTTACCATTCTATAAATTTAATTGTATGTATTATCTGAACCTTTGAAATGTTTTATGTGCTTGAAGTGCATCGTGGTCATTAGATGTTGAACTCAAAAGAAAATAACTTCCTGTAGTACTTGTTATTGCATTGGCTGTACTTGCCTTGGATCTACTTTGCTGTTCAAATCTCATTTCTTATCAATACAGATTTACTTAGTGAATCAAAAAAGAAACATACTTCTACCGATTATAATTTCACAATTTTTTTATAAAGTTTCTGAGACACAGGTGTACCTCTTCTTCTGAAATGGAGTGAAACTGTCTAACATATGGTCTTACCGTACACTTCTTACAACTTTTGTCAGAATGTGAACGAGGGGGGAATTTAAATTCATTTCATGGGTGAAAACTTATCTTGTGCAGAAAAAAAAAATCACTATTAGTATTAAGACTACTATAAGAATGTATTCAGTATTTCATTTGCATTCATTTGCATTCATTTTATTTAATGCATGAATTTTGTTGTGATACACCTTTCTCCCCTGACGCAGACATAAACATTGTTATAATCAGACAGACATGATAGGAGATATAGGTTTTTGATTTGCTCGTTCATGCTACCATAGAGGAATTAAAGATAAAATGAAGGATAACTACCGGTATGGGGTGGGATTTTCATGTTATTTCCATTTTTATGTTAATAAATATCGTATGATTTTGAGTTTGGTAATTAACTGCATAATGAATGCCGGATTAAAAGAAAATGAAAAGACACAAATATATTTAAAACTTGATTTCCCTTTGTGACATTCACCTGTGCCTCGTAAATAAGCTTTTGTACACAAAGATTCATAGTTTTATGTTGGCATTGTGGCAACAGGATATTATTTGACTAATTATGAACTATCCTAACATCGTAAGATAAGTAAGCTCCAATGCTGTCATAGGGGAGAAGTGTTCACTTTTCCTTTTTATTTTCTCGTTGCTTTCACCTAGTATTGCTGTCAGTCTAGCTGTTTTTAAAGTATTTTTGCATATACCACCTTTTTTGTTGTTGCTTATTTATGATCTAATTTGATATAGTCCTATTTACCTTCAGTGTACATCTATGTATGGGCATATAATATTTCTTCTTTTCTTCTTTTCATTGTACAAAGCACTCATGAATATAATATACAGTGATCACAAGTTTGATGAATTTTCAAGTTATATTTTCTTTTGACAATATGATAACGTATGGTCAAGTACACAGGTCTTTTTTGCTGACTTTTGAATGACTAAGAAAGTTAACATGATTATTTTGTGCAGTACTACATCCCCAGTAGATTAGGTCTCCCATCGGTTCCCACGGCGATATTATAAATAAGTAATGTTGTGGGATGTATATAATGCATTTGTATTTATCTGTTCTCATTGAAATAGACTCCAAAAACGAGTGTAGAGTAGACCCCATGGTCAAATAGCGTAACATGTCATTCTCAAACGGGATTGTCGACACTCTTTCTGATCCCAGTATTGTTTCGTTCAGAACAATAGCAACTGAATTTTAATTTGGAGAAACAAAATGAATTGAACCATTAAAAAAAGATTTCTACATTCTTGTCAACAACAACAACAAGTTGATTAAATTGTATTTAAAAGTAAAAAGTCTTCTGCATTTCTTAACAGGATTTTCTCCGCCAGTTTCTGAATATTTCAAAATATTATGCGCATTTCTTCGTTTAATGATGATCCTTTGTTGACACATGTGGCAGGTGTATGATTCTTGAATTAACTTGTATTGGCTTCATTATTCAACTGGTGATCATTAACTCGTATATATATATATATACAAACATACCTATTTGGTATTTGGAGTAATCAAAATTTATCATATAAACATATATGAGGAGTTCAGCTCTGTTGTGTAGTTATTTAAGCAATGTAACACAATTTGATATAGAGTTAACCAAAATATTGGAACATACATCACTGTAACCCATGATATGATGGAATAAACATTATTAACTTATATTGTGTCAAGGTGTTGGAATCTAAAAAAAATTATTCTATTCTAAAATTCTATTTTTCCCAAATAAATCATTTGTTACTAATCATCTTCTTTGGTCCCAACCATCAGAAAAATGCAAGGTTATTGGCACTTTTGGAATAAAATCTAAACTATTTGAGGAGTTATATGTCACTCTAAATAAGGTTTTAATTATGTTTAAAGTCATTCTTGCACACCTGCATTGCTTATAAAAGTTTTTGTTAAAAGGATATTTGTGCGGTGGGGCCATTCGGGAGAGTTAAATCACGTTTGCCCATCTGGCTCTAAACAGGTGATGATGTGACACTTTAGCAATCCCTTGGATATTAGCTTCTTGCTTTATATTTGGGCAATGTCTGTCCTACACTGAACTGATTCCAAACATTATGCTTTTCTGCAACAAGATCCAAGAAGAATTTTTAAACATGGTATTAATGAGTGAAACCATACAAAAAACAGATGATGTTATATTGTGATATACTTGCCCTTGCTTTGTTTTTATTTGATGTTCATGATTTATTATGACGTACACAGTTAACCTTGTGAAGGGGGGGGGGGGGGGTGATGAAAAGGTCGTATATAGTACAAAAGATTTCCTTTTTTCACCCAGAATACAAAATTACATTAAAATGCAAAATGTAATGAAGATGTCAAGTTTGTGCAGAGATACTGTAAATAAAAAAGCATGCATCTTCCTCCAGAAGAAGAAATGAATGCACGTACAGTGTATAAGGGATAATAACACCCTCCTTGATAGTTCTCCTTGGTATTGATTAATACTCTATAATAGAAATGTACGGCTTCCCCCCTTGGGTAGTATTAAACCAATATTTAATGTGCTCGGTTGACTTGGTATTACAGTTTAATCAAAAAATGAGTTAAACACACTGAACGAATGTACTAAACCTACCTAACTTTGTTTGGAAGATATCAATTTAAGTGCACAATTTACATAGGTAACGGTTACACAAATTCGTAGATATTTATAATATTTAAAAGGCATTATACAAAATAATAACTTTGTGCTGTTTATTAAATGAAAGAATGTGAATAATCAAATGTGACCCGGAAAAATTATCTGATTTAATTCTTTTTGAAAATGATTTATTTACCACTGATTGATATGTTGCAAGAAGTACTTGACTTTTATTGTAATTCTTTGTTATTATTACCACTGTGATTAAGAAGTGAGAAATTAATACCATTATTTACAATCTATCATCTGGTCTCGTGTGATTATGTGTATTTTCATATTAGTTTAATGATGGATTGGAGTGTGGCTGAGCATGTAGGCATTACATGTAGTTGCGTGTTTGCACAGGACCATACTTTCCAACTCACTCCTTTTCAGCTCTCTTCTGTTCTCTTTCTTTGTCTTCCAATTTTGTTTTAATGTTCTGCCCCGCTCCCCCTCTCTTTCTCTCTCTCTCTCTCTCTTTCTCCCTCCCTCTCTCCCTC